TTATAGCACCAAAGAAATCAAAATTATCATGAAGTTTAAAAAAGAAAGATGAGTTACTTGACGTTCATATTGGAACAAAACATGAAGTACCAACTATTGATCTGATCTGACATATATATATGTTACGGAGTTCATAAATGGTGAGCCAATAATTTGCGATGCATTAACAAAAAAGAATGTTAAAGCTTTAAGATCTTTGAGATCAAATGAAGAAAAACATTATTCATTTAACATAAATCAAGTTGATGTAAATTTTTATTAGTTGTTAGCAAACAGAAGGATTAAAATTATAGGAAAACATAAACAAATGACTAATAAAGAATTGAAAGGAATGAATTATTGTTAATGGCATAGGGTGATTGGTCATTCTACAGAGAATTGTGTAATATTTAGAAATGTAATTCATGATTTAATAGAGTCAAAAGATGCTAGGTTCCTAATAGAAATGAAACAATAGCAATTGATGAAAACCCTTTTCTTTAAGTTAATACACTGTTAGTTAATATGACAACCATTACTAATGATATTTTATTTTTCCAAGGTATCACCTTTACTATGGTCATAACAAATGAGTTGTTCGATGCCTCAGTAGCACATCAAATACTTCGATTTGTGAAAATAAACAAATCATGATACATTGAAGTATTTTACAGTTGACATATAATAACAAACCATACTATTAAAAAATATATAAACTTCAGGAGAATTGTTAAAGGTAGAGTTGTGAAAGGATTGATGAGCCTCAATGAGGAACAAAAATAGATTCTAAAGTTAACAAACTTAAGTGGGCTCTTGAGATCTAGAATGATGCAAAAAAGATGACTAATTCTAGTGTAAAGACTGAACGTGGATGAATGATTTATCCAGAAGGAACCTGAAGAAAGAATATGGTCACACAGTTACTAGAGATAAAGGTGTTATTTAAAAACATACAACTCATTGTGAAAACCATATGCAATGTTTGTAGTTTAACTATGAAAGAAGGATTGACTTCTTAAGATATAAATACTAAAAAAGACTTATAAGAAGTCATGGTTTCCTCTTCAAGGTGTACTTTAGAAGGATAGTTCATATTGTTTTGTTCTCAAATGGAGACTAATGAGAATTAAAAGCGAGGAGAAGTTAAGGCAAGAAAGAGATTATCCAAAAAAAGTAAATCCTTAAAAAGAGACTTACCATCAAGTCCAAAAAAACATTAGACAAAGGTCAGATCCAAAGAAAAAAAGGCAAACTGATAAAATTCAAGAAAAATAAGACTAAGACATGTAACAAGAACCATGTAGAGAAGATTACAAAGAAGAAAAGTGAATTTACTTTGTAATTACATGGAAAAAAAAGCATTAAATGGTAGAGAGAAAATTCCAGAGTTTATCATTAATCAAACCATTAATAAACTGGTCATTAAAATGAATGATAGGGATACAAATTCAGATGAAAAAACAACTAAACAATATAAGAAACTAGTGAGAGCTAATGAAAGGTATCTAGCTGATTATGAAAATGAGAAAGACAATATATTTGATACTTTGTTTTTGAATGATGGAGATGATTTCTTCACAAATAATATGGTAGAATGCAACATGGTGACTCTTATCCCTGGGCATTTTATCAATTTGAACAGTATGGCTATAGGATTGGAAGGAGATGTTGACAACTTTGCAATACCCCATGAAGTGATAACAGAGAAAGCTAATTAGGAAGTATACCAGTAAGAGATAGTCAAGGATATTGGAGCTAAGAAAAAAGGTGTAGCAGAGTTAAAGAAGCTATGAAAGTTTTGTTCAAGAAACCAAATGCTAATAAGCTTGTACATGTGAAATCTCTATACTTATGCTTTAAAATTAAATGAGAGGAATTAGGGAGAGTATTTGTTAATAATGGTGTTGTTGTGAATATATTACTTTTGAATATGCTAGAGGTAATTGGAAAAATAGTGGAGGACTTGATATCAACTAGAGTAGCAATAGGTGGGTTCTCTAGAGAAATCATACAAGCTAAATGAATTATATTAGTCAGTTTAGAAATGGACTCCTTAGCTGCTTAAACAATATTTTTTGTTATGGATACAGTCCCAAGCCATAATATCTTATTTGGAAGGAATTGGATTCACACAAATGGTTGTATTCTCTCAACTCTGCAACATATGTTATTACTTTGAAATGAAAATAAGTTTGAAATTATGCATGCAAACAAGAAGTTATTTATAACATGTGTAAACCATTTAAAAGTACAATTTTATATAGGAAAATGAAGTACAATTAGAATCGCACAACAACCATCATGAGTAAGAATTGAAGATATAAAGGATAAGATTTGTGAAATCCTGACAAGGCCTTTACTATTTGAAAAGCCTTGAAGGAAGAGAAAAATCTCTCTTGATGAGTAAAACAATAATAAGAAACAATTCTAAAAAAGTAGCAGTACAAGTGACTATCTAGAGATTATTGACATGCTAGACAAAAGAACATGTATTAAAGGAATAAAAAACCATAAAAAAAAATATAAAAAAAAGATAGAAGAACATGTGGTTACAATACAACAATTAGGTCTTATAAATGCATACAAACATTTAAAAAAGAACAATGTAAAGCAGGAGTCTTAAGAAAATCCAAGTGTTCAAGAAAATAAGAGTAAATATAGAAAGTATAACCAGCTAAAGAAATGAACATTAAAGAAGAATTAGAGAATAAAATAATTTGTATCAGTGCTTGGTTGAGATCAAAGGAAAAAAAAAAGTTTTGATTTCCATGCTTAAGAAGAATAGAAAGTGTTTTGCATGGGATTACAAAAATATGTCAGGACTGAATAGAGAGTTGGTAAAACTTAGGATTCCAACATATAAAGGTGTCAAACCAGTAATCTAGAGTCAAAGGATAATTTCTTTGGAGTTTGAAAATGTAATAGTTCAGCCCAACCTGTCATATATTGTCTGCTTTGGGCCTTACCATCCTCACAGTTTTGTTCTTGATGATGCACTTCTGAGCCGAATGTCCCAAAACGTACATGATAAGTTAGCAACCAGCACTCTTAATAAGATCAACTACCACTCCCTCATCCACCGATATAAGATATTACAAAAAATATGTGAAGGATAAAAGTATAAGATTTATTTCTACAATGTGCTAATGATGGTATTCAGCATCGTCATTTTACTTATGGGTATACCGGCGAATAACATGATGAAGAATGCATGCTTGAATTATTTAAGTAGGAGTTAAGCTTTTAGAATTCACCATCCTAGTTAGTTTGCATGTGTTTAATATGAGTATGAAATTGATTTTCAACATGTTTTTAAAATTTAATAAACATATCATAGACTTTGAATTTGACATGTATAGGATGAAACCAAATAAAATTAGAAAAATAGTAAATAAAGATAACAAAAAACCGATACTCCTCCACCAAGAAGTAAAGAAAAGGCCTCAAACATTACTAAATAACAAATCTCAAGGAGCATTGCTTATATATTCACAAGGATATAAAGATAATCTACTAGATTTGCTCAAGTAGTAAGCAGCACGATTGAAAGAAGATGGCAACACTAGAAAATGTTTGTTGGAAACTAGATGATTGAATGCACGGAAGTGAGGATTGACAAGCCGATGATGCCGAAGCATAGATGATCCAAGGATAATAGAAAAGGGATGAGGAATAGGCAGGGAGGACCGAGTATGAAGGTGGTAGAGACCATCTCTCACGGTTCCAAAAAAGAAGGATATATAACCTCGGAGATACAATCCTTGACAAGACAAAAATCATTGTGGAAAAAAGAGAAAAGAAAAGATACCATTATCAATAGCAAATTGATGAACGGAAAGTAAGGACGGACTTTAGTTATTTCAGGGACGTCTAAAATAGATGACAAATATAAGGTGTGAGAATTTTTAATTCACCAATATCAGAAATAAAAAGTTTGTCACCCTCCCCCATTTCATGGTGATCTGAATCACTGTATGATTCCACATGCAAGAAGTCACTAATAGCTGGAGTGATGTGATGAGTAGCTCGTGTATATAGGGAACCAAAACAAACAAAACCAGTGGCCGAATCTATCATGATAGCTGAATTAATTGAACTCAATAACAAAAAACGTTTGCCACCACTAAATCAAAAGTTGTTTACTGCCACCATTGTTATTCCAAGGAGAACAAGAGCTGGTCAAATGATCCCAACTAGCGATAATCGACACCGTAAATTTGGCTAAAAACTATAATGGTTCCGGGACTGTCAAGATCCAAAATTGGGACAAGTATTGCATGACAGACCACGACCACGTTGTTGACGACCATACCAACGATTCACCGGAGAAATTGTTAGTGTACTAAGGACGCTCATCATTACAAGAAGAGCGAGGATGTCCACGGTTGGAGTGTATGGTTTCATGGGTCTGGTGAGATAGGCTGGAATACCTCGGCATCACTTGCCGAATAGGCTAATTATGATAAGTGTTCTTGTTTTAAAACCCATGAGTTTTATCAGGCATCTGGTGTAGTTCAATTAAAGTCGAGTGTAGAGACATGAATTGTGTGTCGTGGAGGGTGATGTTGATACTGATGCTAGGATGGTCCAAATGGCATGAGATGTGGTTCAACAGATAATTAAGAACAATGCCTCAATGAAGAGTGATGCTATCAGTCTGGAGGGCCATTTCAGAGTTCCTCGCACTGGGTTCAGCCTCTGTTTTGTTTAGCTGGTTAAAACACACGTCTGCACCGTGTAGATTGATGATTCTGTGCCGCTTAATGGGGGTTTTCACGCGGATGTTCTTGACAACTGAAAACAATTTAATGAAGTAGCCTCCTCAAACAGATGATACAAAGAACCAGCACACGCACGCAGCTGCCTCTTTTAATCTTCTTATGTTCTGCCGCCTTCTTTGCTGCACAGACAAATTCAGGAAGGTTGAATGCTTGCCCCATAAATCAGATGCCATGGTTTTAAGACTAATTTCAGACACAATGGTGCCGAGATATCAAGGCTGATCAATTAAAGAAAAAAGAAAGTGCGAATCCCAGTGCAGTATATCTCGCCATTCCTCAAAATTCAATTTACAGTTGCGACGCCTGAAAGCAAAAATTGATAAATCCCACCTACTCTCAACCTATTAAATTCCTTCATCATCTATTGGAATTAATAAACAATAGAAGTCCACCCCAAGCAGGGCAGATGCTAAGGAAAAGAGCACAAATTAAGAAGAGCAGCAAAAAGACATGAACCTATCATTTTGATATTGAAAAAGGTCAGCGTTCTATCTCCTCCCCACCTATCATATTAACCTAAGCATTGCAGCCGCATTTACATGTACACTTCCAAGCTCTCTAACACTTCCCTTGTCTCAGGCTTTATGCTGGGGCCATTAATAGAGGTTTCATATGCTTGAGTAGCTAAGAGTTCCAGTTGATCTGTGTATGTTGAGACTGCTGGTAAGGACCAGATGAGGGTACCACAGGTTCAGCAGTTGCAGGCATAGCCTGTGACTGTTGCATGAGTTGGTTAACAGTTGAAGGTGCAGCCATTGTTTGCAATGGTGGGTAAAATCCAGGAAAGGTACCATGCCCAGCCTGTGGAGGAGAGAAGGTGAGGTGCTGTCCCTGAGGGTGAAGTTGGTACAAGGAACTGAGCTGCAAGCTGGATATATCTTGCCCAGGTGGAGGAATCCAAGATGAAACTTCGCTCTTCATCAACCATGACCAAAAGAAAGAAAATCATTAATCAGAAATTAAAAGAACTAATGCAGAGTCCAATAAAAAATAAAATAAATAAGCAATCAGGGACAGAATGATGCAATAAACTTAATATTGATAGCTGTATTGCACTGATTTGGCACTTGAAAACAATAAAAAAATACCATTCACCATGCAGCAAATAGCAAGGCAGATCGTATACATTTCTCCTCATACTGCCACAACAACAACTAAGAAACATTGCAAGACTTTAAGCTATGGAAACAAAAAGTAAAACCAACCAGTGATCCTGTAGTGTAGATATTTCTTTCCTTCAACTGAAATGCTGATAGATCATCATTACCAGCAGAGCTTCCAGGGGATACAGCTGGACCAGGATTGAAGCCCATAGGGGAAGAGCCATATGATCCATATAAAGCTGGGAGTGCAACTGGAGTTGGGTTTCTGGCAGTAGTTCCGGGCTTAAATTGTGGAAGAGGGAATGGGAACTTGACACCAGCAGCAGCAGGTGCTAATGTAAGAAATGCATTGCCAGTCAATGGCTGTTGAGGAAGCCCATTGTGGCTCAAGAATTGGTGCATTGGTGGCAAAAAATACGGATTGAAGTAATGCCCATACTGAAGATAGTTAAGAGGATATGGTGGCCTGAAAAGAAGTGGGTGCAGAGAAGCAGCAACAGTGTGCTGCATCGATTGACTCAGACTTGAAGTCGATGTAGCCATAGCATTCTCACCCTGAAATTTGATAAATAACAGAACCAATTAATTTAAGAGAAAAGACAGGAAAGTTATGCACAAGAATCATTATCTCAAACAAAAGGACACAGAAATAGGGGCTGAAAAACACAATACTGTCTTAACAGGAGTTTATATTATTATTATTATTATTATTATTATTGATGGGCTCACTGTAAGATTGTGGAAATCTGATGATACCATTAAATGCATCTCCCATGAAGTTGAAAGCGAACAAAATTGTCGCAAAGAAAGTGAAAGCAAGCTTAACCCTCGTGGCTTTTACACACACAGACAGTCAAAAAAATGTGTGGTTGTGGGTGTATGTGTAGAGTGTTATGCAGAATAAAATACAAGGTTTCTCCATTCTCGTAACAGTACATTTCCAAGGGAAAAAATATCCTAAGAGGACACGGCATATTGTATAAAGCTAATCCATTGTTCACCCAAAATCATGGCAAGGTTTGGTGTCTGCAGGTCAACATTAACAGATACTCATTACTCTATCATCTTCATATGTCAAAGTAGTGCCAGCATGATATTTTCACATTAATGTAGTATATTAGATTGACTTTAAAAATTTTAATCTAACAGATACTATGGCCAGATCAAATAGCACATGACAAATAAATGAAACAGCACAAGTGGAGCAAAGGCTTACAACAAAGCCTGAAAGTTGAGAAACATCCGGTGCCTGAGTCTCATGTCCTACAAATGGTACAGGGTGAGCAGCCTGCAAGGGTGGCATGATCCCAAAACCATAGCTTGGGGAAATTTGAACAGTTGAGTTCTGATGGCATTCTGGAAGCAACATTGCATCCTGCTTTGATTGAACAACCTTCGAGTCTGCACCCGGTGCATTATTATCCTCTGATATTAGCACTTTTTCAACCACAGGTTGAGGGGACTCTGGTTGATAAGAATGATCAACTTGCATAGGTGACGATCCACTATCATTGCTGCACGTAAATAAAAATTCCAAAACATTCAAAAGGTACAAGTACAAAGCAAATAAAAGGCTAAAGGCTTTGTTATAGGCACAAAAAGCTCATGAGATAATAGGATCAGTGAGCACACATCAGCATAACCACATAACCTCACGAACTCCACCCAATCCCTGCAAAGCCACCATTTTTACAATCCAACAAAAACAATCAAGAAAGCCCCTGGAAAATCCCCATTTTGCCATCACACAAAATGCTTTAACATAAATATCTTTCTTTACAAAATCAATTATTTCAAACATGTATTTACATGACAAACAGTTAGAAAATGCATAATATGTTCACCAACCTAAAAGGTCTGGCATTTTCAACAGTTGAATGTGTCAGTTCAACAGCAAGTGTGGAGTTTATGTCACCATCAATAGCATTGCTACATTTTGTTTTTGGCCCAGAATTAGAATCAAAGCTTCCAAAAGTCAAACCACCATTGATATATTCCTTTCCTGGTCCAGAATTTGATTCAAAGCTTCCAAAAGTTAAACCACTTTTTAACGCTTCAGGGACTTTAAAGTGATTTGGAAATTTAACATGTCCAGAAGTGATGGATGGTTCTGGCAGCAACTGAGAACTGAGTTTAGCTTGAGCATCTTCAGACAAGACTGCTGCTTCAAAAATAAAAGCACGTTCAAAATCCAAAAGTAGGAGGATAAAAAGTAAACAATGAAACTTGTAACAAGGGAGGAAACAATACTTTTTAAAGATTTAGCCAACTCCTCTGATGAATGGCTATCACTAGCAGAAGACCTGACAACCAAAGAATCATTATATGTAGACAAAGTCGAGGGCTGCAGAGATTCAGACAACTGACTCTTTCCAACTGCCTTTGATTTACTCAGAGAAATTTTTTTGTTTCCTTGAATATTATTCTGTTCAGCAGCTTTCCGCTGGCAACCCACTTCATGTTTAATTGTACCAACAGAACCAGGATTTCTAGTCATAGAAGGGGCCAATATGGGGTCTGAAGAAGAAGATACAGAGCCAGATACAGATGCTAGAGTGGTAGAAGCTGGGAGGCCATTAAAAAATGTTGTGGACTTTCCTTCCTTGGATAGCATTACAGAGACAGAAACTTGCATAGGCAATGGTGGACATGCTGCAGGTGGTAGGAAAGAATCTGACTTCACAGTGTGAGCTGTACTACCTGCATCAGCAGCAGCAAGCAGCTGCGGACCATGGCTGCGAATAGAACTCCTATTGGAAAGAGTTGAAGGGTCACAGGAAGTGGTAGTTAAATCTCTGTAACAGTTGTACAAATAAATTAGCAAGAATGGGAAAACAGTTCTACACGAGTGTTATATGCCATAGTGCAATGAACATCTGTGTTAATGTAGTTACTTTGTCACAGGATTCACTGCAGTGTTATTTTTTTTCTGCACAGAGTGTAACGAGTTCGAAGCACTTCTGTCTGTCATGCGAACAACTCCATTTTCCCTTCGGGTAGCCACATTCCTCCCACCAACAGCATCTGACAAACAGTTCAGAAAGCAATTTTATCAGGTACTGAGAAACAGTCTGCAATCACAGCGGGCAACCTCTCAAATTCTAACCCAACACTTTCCCTTTTAACTTTATTAGCATGGGATCATAATCCTAGAAAAGAAAAGTACATAATCAATACAAAATTTCCACAAACAAAATGAGAAAGAAAACAAAATATAGACTCTTTACTAACTTCTAATTTTCATATATTAACACATAAAGCTCAGATATAGGGGGGGTGGGGGGTTACATACATCTTGACTCATTGATCTTATGTTAAAATGCATTCATTATTAGAAGAGGAATAATGACCCTTTACTGACTTCCAACTTATTGAGATGTACTACTACAACCGAATATTTCCTGTACCCAAATAAAAGGAAAACATGTGCCGGTATTTTTCTAGTCTTGGATTTGGTATGCATTTCACATCCAAAAATGACAATTTCCTCAACCAGGATAGAAATTCTTACCAGAAAAGTTTCCTTGACCACCCCTAGTTCCTCTTCCTTGAGTCTGCAATATCAGCAACAATACAAGAATTGAATTGCAAAATTGTCTGGTTAACAAAACCATATGAACAAACCCAAGAAAGAAAGGCAAAAAGGAACGCGTAAATTTCTGAAAGAATAATATATCTTACCCCCTTTCTCCAATCACATTTCCTCTTGACTTCATGAAATGTATCTGCCAACCAAAACTTATTATTTTATTAAAACAACTCAGCAGGTATGATTGCCATGAATAATATCATTTGGTAAAAGTGCCATGGATTCAACATTAAGATTGTCCAGTCAACTTGTAAGGATTTTGCAGATTTTTAAAAGTTGCACGCGTAATCAAAAGCTACATAAATATTGTGGAAATTAAATTCAATAAAGCTCCAATGAGTTACTATATGGAGGAAAATAAAAGACACAAAGCAACACACGAATATTGGGTTCCACTTATCATTACTTAGGAACTGGATTACTCACAGAAGAAAAAAAGATAAAAAGTACTTAACCATTAACTAAGGACATGTTTTAAAAAGTGTTCTTTTAAATTTGAAATTTTTTTTATAAAAAATAGGAAATATAGAAAGAACTGAAATTTAAAAACATAAAAGAAAGAGTTAAATCCCATCAATGATTCTTTCCCCTCAATCATTTTACAATCAATTTGTATTAGAATAGATAAAAATAAAAAGCAACATATCCAAATTTTCTCTTCAGGTTTTTTATGTGATTTTAAACTTTTTTACTGATTGAGTTTTTATAAAAATTGTAATAATAAAGGTGTGGTTATGTTGGAGACTAATATTTATTTGGGATTTAATTTAATTTATTTTTTATAATTTTTCTTAAATAAATATTTTATATTTTGTCATAGAAATGGAGATGTGATGATGCAGGAGTTGTAGTAACAGGGATTTCTTTTAATTGAATATCCTTTTAATTGATTGATATAGACATCTTGTTCTAAATTCCCATTTAAAGATGCAACTTTTACATTTGATGTAACTTGAATTCATAATTTAAAAGTTCCCCGAGTAAGTTATGATAATTGCAAGTGAGTCTCTCTTGTACTCAATACTATCTTTATGATTCAAATTTTTGGCAACAATTGTGGTCTTGTACATTTAATATTGTCATTTAAGTCTCTTTTATTTTTAAAGATTCATTTACATTTAACTTGTTGCAACTAACATCTCAGCAATCTTAAATAATAATAATAATAATAATATTTATAGCATTTTATTATTTTAATGGGAAAATATCTTGTTTTTATAGTCATTATTTAATATTATAGTAATTAAAAATCCTAACTAATCAATAACTATTTTATGATTAATAACTAGTTATGCTAAATAGAAGATATTATCACTCCTAAAATGTTTCACCTTAAGTAGATTGTATTACTGATTTTATCTTAAATTGTTATGGATTTGATGTGCTACGATACCAATAATCTACCTATAATATTTCTAACTTTAGTATTAGTGAATAATCATTTAAAAATACTTTAACTTTGACATTGATAAGTATTATGTACAAGAGTTTATATCCCTCACTCTAGCATCATGGGGTATTTGAGGGTTAATATTCTTAACTTTAACGTAAATAAATATTAGAGGTAATATTCTAATTATAACATTAGTAAATATTAAAGTTAATACTAATTATAAATCTAGTTGTCTCAAATAATTTTGGGTTTGGTTCTAAAATAGACATTGAACTCCACAAGAGTAGCAAAATCTGGAGTATGTTACATATATATATATATATATATATATATAAACTTGTCATTTACTAATTTTTATCATTGTTTATTTTTAAGCAAAAAGTTTTTAGTTTTTTTAGATATATAGGCTCAATAAATCATTTTATTTAGGTCAAGCTTTTTAAAGGCTCAATAAACTTGTTATCAAGCCCCTAAAAGCATGCAACAAAAATACTCATTTTTTTAATGTTAAAAAGAAATTGCATTGCTAAAACACGCAAAATAATTATTTTTAAAATCTTTTCTCTTTTATGTTAAACATAGCTTTTTTAAAAAAAACCATAAATTATGAAAATATATTTTATGTTTTTTAATAAAAAAGCTTGGTCATGCAAATTAAAATATTTGGTTAATTATTTTTGCATCTTTTTTTATCATGTATCTAAAACATGGTAAAAAATTACATTATGCCTCTCACATATATCCACTTTCACTAATCAACTCACAAACCCAGAAATCACACATGTTCACAAATCATCATAATTCAACAATAATTAGAACACACACATTAAACGGCATCTAAATCTCAAATATTCTAGGCATTGAGAATTGATTAGGGTTGCTAAGACCAAACAAGAAAGCTATTAGAATTGAGCTAAAGTTGCAAGAATAGTAGTGAAGTGTGACAGTTACATGCCATCGACATAATTGGCACATAAAATCATGCATCGTTACTGTTAAAATAAATAAACCTGGTAGATCTAGAATAATTTCTCCTTTTATTTCTTCTTATGCTAATGATGAATGTCATAATTACTGATGAACAAAAATCACACAAGTAAAGTTTCGACTTCCTCTCTTTTGTTTTCTTTTTTCTTTTGTTTTTCTCTCTTTATTGTTGTTACAATGACATTTTTAGTGAAATCTTGTTGATATATCAATTTTTTTTCATGACTTCGAGATTAGAAAATAATCTACTATCGATCTTTTTCAAGGCTCAAATCTTAATATTTCAATAGTTCACAACCAAAATTTTTTTAAGAGGTTCAGTGTTATTTATACTTTCATAATGGATAATCTCTCACAAAGGTTTCTCGTATCTCACAATAATAAAAAGATTACAATTAATTAAACTAAAGTTTTCAATTAACTAAACTCAAGTTTTTATGAAAAGTAATCTAGCTTAAAAATGTGAAAAATAATTGATACAAATAAAACTCAAAGCTGTAAAAAAATTATAAAAATGATGAAAACCTTTTAGATTAAAGAGTTATCCATCATAAAAAAAAATGTTAAATGAAGCTCTTTTTTATAAAAAGACATGCAATAATTATCTATGATTCCTCAAGTTTTACTTTTTATCACTATTCTTGTAAGTTATTAATATATTTTATTTCTTAACTTTATTTTTTATTTTTATGATTTAGTTGAGAAAAGAGATAGAAAATTATAAAGAGCTCAAGCTCTCAAGTGGTTAAATTTTGATCACCAATAACTTTGATTTTGATGTATGAAAAGTTGCATTGAATTAGAAAAAAATAATTAGTCTCTTTTCATTGTTTGTAGTTTTATTACTAGGATGGTGCATATGTTATGTTATAGATCCATATTATTATTTTTTCTAGTAAAATATTTAGGTGTTTTTTCTTTTAAAAAATCTAATAACTTAGTTTATAATTCCAACAAACTAAATAAGGTGATCTTATTTGAATCATACGAGAAAAAAAAGATATATATAGCAATTATAAAAAATATATATAAGGATAAAAAAATATACTATTAACTTGAATTGAAAAGTAAAATTAAAAATAATAATTATTTTATAGAAGACTTAAGAAAAAAATCATAAAAATCATAATCAAATTAAAAATAGAAATACATAATAAAAAAAACTAGAATATATAGATTTTTTCGATTTTTTAACATAAAAAAATAGTAAATGGAAATAGCTAGAGTGTTTTGCCTGCTTTAGTTTTTGTTAGGACAACAACCTCCACAGCCAAGCCAAGCCAACCCAAACCAAACCATCCCACAATCCCATTGGTTTTATTTATTTGCAAACAAGTTTACAACTACCTCCAATTCACTCTCAGCACAGAACACAAACACAGAACACAAACACACAACATCGTTATTATCGCTCTCTCAAATTCTCCCTCTCCCCTTCTCTCAAACTCCAGAGTTTGCCATGGAAGCCCTGCAATCTCTATATCTCTCTTCATCTCCGTTAAACCCACTTCACCAAAAATCTCATAATGCAACAAAGCCCCCACCTGAAAGAATCTCATTCATCAAAGCATCGTCATCCTCCACCGTTTCAGCTCCAAAACGAGAGAAAGACCCCAAAAAGAGGGTTGTCATAACGGGCATGGGACTGGTATCTGTCTTTGGTAATGACGTAGATGCTTATTATGATAAATTGCTTGCTGGTGAAAGTGGGATTGGAACCATCGACCGCTTTGATGCTTCTAAGTTTCCTACCCGCTTCGCTGGGCAGATCCGGGGCTTTAATGCACAAGGCTATATTGATGGAAAAAATGATAGGAGGCTTGATAATTGCTTGAGGTATTGCATTGTTGCTGGCAAGAAGGCTCTTGAAGATGCGGATCTTGGAGGGAATAATCTATCTAAGGTTTTTCCTTAATTGTTTTTGCTTTCTTGTCAGTTTGGTTCCTTTTGTGTTTTTATTTCTGGGATTTCTTTATTTCGTTGTTTTGCTCGTGGGGGGTTTCGTATTTTTTTATCTGATGATTGTTTTTATTGGCAAATTTAAGTATTTTTTATATAATAAACTGAGTGTCTCTACGAAAACGGTGAAGATATTATTCTTGAAAGTTTAAATTATGCTTTTAAGTTTATTTTGAATTGCATGGTATGCCGATTGGATTTGGTATTTGGCTTGTTGTTTGTTTATTTGTTCGTTGGATTTGGTATGTGTACTTTGCTTCTGATTGTTGTAATGTGTGTTTGCAGATTGATAAGGAGAAAGCTGGTGTGCTTGTTGGAACAGGGATGGGTGGTCTTACAGTCTTTTCCGATGGTGTTCAATCTTTAATTGAGAAAGGACACAGAAAGATTACCCCATTTTTTATTCCTTATGCTATAACAAACATGGCCTCTGCCTTGCTTGGAATTGAACTTGGTTTCATGGGTCCAAATTACTCGATTTCAACTGCTTGTGCTACTTCTAATTATTGCTTCTATGCTGCTGCCAATCACATTCGCCGAGGTGAGGCAGATATGATGATTGCTGGTGGAACAGAAGCTGCTATCATTCCTATTGGTTTGGGAGGTTTTGTTGCATGCAGGGCCTTATCACAAAGAAATGATGATCCAAAAACCGCATCTAGGCCATGGGACAAAGATCGAGATGGTTTTGTTATGGGTGAAGGTGCAGGAGTGTTGGTAAGCTCGTGTCTATTTCTGTGCTAAGGATGGATTATCTATAGATTTTAAGCTTCTTCATCTATTTTCCTTTTATTTTTTCTCCTGTCAACTATATCTTTTTTTGACATTGCACCTGCATGTCATAAATGATGGAATTGAGATCTACTTGAATGGTCATAATTTAATAAGATATTCCACTATGTGTTGGAATCTAGATGTTATATGAATGGAGTTGTATGGCTTGGCAGGTAATGGAGAGCTTGGAACATGCAATGAGACGAGGTGCACCAATCATTGCTGAGTACTTGGGAGGTGCTGTTAACTGTGATGCTTATCACATGACTGATCCAAGAGCTGATGGTCTTGGAGTGTCTTCATGCATTGAGAGAAGTCTTGAAGATGCCGGCGTGTCTCCTGAGGAGGTACCTCTATTTTCTGATGATTATCCTCATTTTGTGTGTGTGTGTGTGTACTCTCGTGTTTTGTTTTGTTTATGTCAGTACTAATGTGGTGGAATATATCAAGATTGTTTTATATTTAGCACTGTGGTCTTTTTAAGCTATCTCATGGAGTTGTTGTTTCCTTTGGTATGCATTTAATTATTGTGTGTGCTATCTCCAAAAGCCTGTTTCCTTTAACTTTCATTATGTGATGAGGATCAATGCACATTAGAGTAAATAGAAGGTGTTAAGTTGCATGCTTTTAATATCAACAACTTTAATACCAGAGTATAGGAGCTCCTACAATAACTAGAAGTTATACAAAAGTCTAGAGCTATCAGCATAGCCAATTAGTTGTTGTTCACGTGTATTCCTACCATACCATTTTCACAAGCAATTAGCAGGGACACTTTTGGTCCTGAGGTGTTGGCAGGTTGCTGGTATGGGTGGAGAGTTAAACTCAAAACTTCTCTGTTGGGGTTGTTGGAGCTGCTCTCACCTTTGTTCTGTAGGCAAAAATCCAAGTAAACTACCTTCAATACCAAATGCCTTTTTAACCACTTTAAATTAGAACAAAAAAGGGAGAAAAAATAACAGAGAAAAAAAGAAAAAGAAAATAGAAAAAAAAGAACATCAGATGATTCCTGTTGGTTACTTATTCTGCAGGGATATAGATCTCTCTCTCCTCTCTCATGATGTGGATTGTTTAAAATTAACTTAAAATCCAAATTTCTGTTTCTCTACTTTTCTGAGTGCATCTGTATTGAGACCCTGCCCCTTCTCTTTTTATCTCCCATAAGAGAATGTCTTATTATGCTGAGTAGGTTCTCATGCACATTCTTTCATGGTTAATAAATTTTTCAAAGCTTTCACCATGAGTTTTCATTTCAAAATGTAGAAACCCCATTGTTGGATAGGATATTGTTATTCACGTGCCTGTAAAGTTGTTGTTTTGGGTTCTGTATTTCGCTTGTTGATCATTTGTGATTTTATTTAGCTCTTATTGATACATGTACAATGGGGATTAAGTATGCTATTAAACAAATCTTTTTGGTTGTGATGCTAGGGTATGGCTACGTGAGTGGAGCCATTTTTAGGATGTGTTTATATTTGAATTTATCCTATAGATTATAATTTGCCTTTATGGTGTGTGGGTGTATACAAAGATTCAAAGTGTTGGTGTTAGAAGGGGAATTGATGGTGAAGAGAAGAACTTTAGAGTTGGGTTTTTTTCCTGTATCTGTTTGGATTTTTATGCTTGGGAAATTAGGAGTTTCAGCAGATAGAAATGGAGGAAAGTTATGAGTTCAGAGGAGAGAAGGGAAGTTTTTATTATTATTTTTCTAAAATAATGAGTGGATGATGTGGTGTTTGGTTTCTTAAGTTACCATCACAAAGTCAGCTTCACATTAGCAGGAATGGCAAATAAAATACATCTGATTAAGGGATGGTTCCTTAACTTTTTTAAGATTTCTATTCTAAACCTGTTGATTCTAGTTTTTCCTATTTGCATATCTAAATTATATGAAGTTTTCTAATTTAGCTCTTTCTTCCGCAAATACCCTTTTGATCAATGGAATGGCAATGATTTGAATGCTCTTCATGAGGGTATCTGTGGAACAATATGTGTAATTGTAAATGTTTTTTTATAGTTTAAAACGCTCAAGAATTGATGTGTAAAGACTCAAATGAAAATGATGAAAAAGTTTATGGATAAAAGCGTGGTTATCCCTCTAAATAAGGACTTAATTGGATGTGGTTTGATAGCTGAGACACAGAGAAAAGCTAGAGATATAGTAGTTGTTGATAAATCTCAACAAGTTCAGCACTGAGTGTGGAATCTTTCCCCCCTTCTGTACTCCAATTTATGAATGTATAGTAAAAATCTGTTGTTGAATTGTCCATGTTACTCTATTGAATTAGAGATACAAGTAAAGGAGATTTTGGAATACGTACTTGAATGATTTAAAGCGTGATCAGTTTGCAAATGAATTGGCAAATTACATTAAAATTATGCAAAATGTTTCTTTTAGTAAATTCATTTCACAGCAAAGCTATTTTGTTCTAATGCATAAATTAGGACAGAAGAATTCAATTTCAACAACTTTTCATCAATATCTTTTCATGGGGTCCTGTATAGCTGGAAAGCATATATTGGTTTAGTCCTTAAATGTGGTTACTTAATGCCATTATAATTTTCTTAAAGAAAAAGAAAAAGAATGCAGTTGCTGCTGCTGTTGGTGATGGTGGTATCGCTGGCAGATTAATCTAGTGCATTAATTTTTCAGGTTAACTACATAAATGCACATGCAACTTCCACTCTTGCTGGTGACCTTGCTGAGATAAATGCTATAAAGAAGGTATTTAAGAACACTTCAGAGATCAAAATCAATGCAACCAAGGTAATCTCCCTCCCTCTTGTTGACAAGTTTTGAATAGAGAAGGCTATGATGATGTTCTCTTCCAATGGGTCGTAGATGTTACATGCTTGTTCATTTTGTTTCAGTCTATGATTGGACATTGCCTTGGTGCTTCTGGAGGTTTGGAAGCTATTGCAACTGTGAAGGCCATAACAACAGGATGGCTGCATCCTAGTATTAACCAATTTGTATGTGTCAGATCATTTCCAAGTTATAAGTGCATAACTTTGTGGTTCTTGAGGTGTTTGCTTGTTAATTCAACTAGATTTTTTAATGACTATCCTCTTGGTGTATTCTTTTCTGACTGCAGAATCCAGAGCCCTCAGTTGAGTTTGATACTGTTGCCAACAAAAAGCAACAACATGAAGTAAATGTTGGTAAGATGGCGAAACCTTTCAATGTGGAATTTTGATTTTTCAATTGCTTTAATCCAGAGTTTGAAATTGGTGGCTTTAACCATGTCTGTCTACAGCTATTTCAAATTCATTTGGATTTGGTGGACACAACTCTGTCGTGGCCTTTTCTGCATTCAAGCCTTGATCACCTGACCTTCCTGCATTTCTTTTCATGCATTCAAGCCCCGGGCATCCAGCTTGTCTGCATTTCTTGTAGTGATCAGTCTTGCTTAGTCGGGATATGCTTAATTCACTAGTCAATGAGTCTCCATCTTCTAATTCAAGTTGCTGCGTAATAATCATCTTCTTGTCAATTTTGAGTTGAACTACAGCCTAAGGTTTATGGATCTTTTCTCTTAATGAAATTTCATTTTTCTTCGCGTTTATTGAACTTTTAGAAAGTAAGAGGCATGTAATTTCATTCAGTTTTGACTTTCGCGTTGTGCAGCAGAGAAATGAACGTCTGCGAGACCTGTTCTAATACTGTCACGTTCCTTTTTAACTGATGTAAATGGAGTCCATGGTTTCACTTGTCCTTGTAGAAGGTTTAAATTAATTCTGTCTTCAGATTCATACAGGGGTTTCTGGTTTCCAAAAGAGTTCCTCAGAAGCCTTCGGATCCCTTGCTAAGTTTGTTGCATACTTGCATTGGATGTGGTTACTCATATCCAGATTGTCCAAATGTGGACAAATCTTCCACTCAAAAACAGGTGCTCTACATTCGCTCCATACCCAATTTTGTTTAGGTCTATTGTATACTTACCAGGAGCAAGAATACACATCAGAGTACAGTACCGATTATGCATCGTGGAACCTGAGTAACTGGACATGACCCTTGGTATAAAACTAGAATTACTCTACAACACTAAAAGAATTGGGTTCCTTTTGTGTGATGTACAAGAACCTTAATATACTGTCATGGTCAAGTTTATGACAATTCTGTGTCGTGGCAGAGGTTTGCATGAACAGGTCTCCAGACCCGCACGCTCTCGGCTTGCTATGGGCAGGCCAAGCTCTGGGCTTTGCCTTTTTTTTTTTTTTTCATTCCCTCCTTGTTTTTTCACTTACTCATCAGTGACCTTTTTTAAGTACTATCTATAGATTTTTTTTGAATTTTAATAGTATTTTTTCCGATTATTATATATCTTATATAATATCAATAACAACAATAATAAATTCTTCATTAAAATCTAAAATTTGGTGTTTTATTATTAAAAATTTTAAATGTATTTTAAACATAATTTTACCACTTCTATGATTTATTTTTTAGCTTTTGATCACAAAAATATGAATATTATTTTAATATTTTTTTGCTAAGTTGCTTTAATAATTATAAAATGATTTTTTAGACAAACAATTATATTAGTTAAAAACATTGCATTGATTATAAGAGAATAGAAAAATTTATTTTCATGGAAAAAAAATTTCGAAACGACTGAGTTTTCGAGGTTAATAAGTGATAGAATTTTCCAAGATTTGTGTTACTGTCTAGACTGCAACATGTATTTTTATATTACAAAATTTGTTATAAGAGGAACGGAAAATATTATAAAATTTGTTAACAATGAAAGATATGTTTTTATTTTATATAATGAATTAAAAACTATATTGATTGATAAATCTAAAAAATAATTATGAAGACTAATTAATTATTAAAATAAGAAATTGATTTTTCCATATTTTATCTTTGTTTTTGTTTTCATTTTATAATTTTTTTTATTGATTTGTAGATTTACTCTGATGGTTAAATATTATTTTCATCCTTATAAATGTATAATGTAAATTAAATTTAACATAAAAAACATATGAAGATAAATTACAATAATCTTTTGGAATATTATGGAATTATAGAAATCATAAAAAATATTAATTAATATTTAAAAAATAGTTAAATTAAATAATTTTAAAATAAAAGGATATTAATTAAAAATTAAATAAAAAAAATCCAAATAGCTATTAAACTTGAAAGGTCATGACACATCAGTGTGACCTGGGAGGTAAAAGTCCACTATTGGATCTAGAAGGTCAGTCTCATATATTTGTTTCAATTTGACACCCACGTATGCCAATTTTCAAAGCTTAGTTTTATTTATTACATGAAAACTTAAATAAATATCTGCAAGGGTGCAAGATTTAAATTCTGAAAGAAAATATATATTTCATAAGTCAAAGCCCTGCTCATATCTATGCATTTTTTTTTGATGAAAAATATTTTTTTTCCGGTGACAATGTTGTTTTATAACAAAAATTCAAGATAATTAAAATAAAAATTCTCAAAACATCAATACTTTAAATTAAAAAGAGAAATTATTTCCTTGAAAAAAAAATATTTTGGATTATGTTAAAATTTTTCCAAAAGATTTTAAAGGCATTGTTTTTACAGAGTTAAAATTTCTTAATAATTGGACATCGAGAAGGCTTTGTGATAAAATCTAGAAGTTACTATGCGAGAATTGCATTATTTTCCTATGAATTTTTTAATTTTATTTATAACTTTTTTTTTTATTTTCTAGTTTTGTTTCTTATGATTTACCTGGTATATATAAAATTATTTAGCTTGTATTTAAGTTTGTGGTGAAATTGCTTATTATTCATAAATAATATTTTAAGCGTGACGAAGTTTTACATACTCTTGGTTTTACATACTCTTGGTTCTTCATCGAACTCATGTGAACTTATCAAAGACTCTTTATGGTGTTCATCTTTATACTTCTAGTTCTTGATTTTTTATAATCAAAGGATTGAGGATTTCATCCAATATCTTCAAGTAATCACTAGGTTAAGTTTTCTATTAATCTGATTTTAGTTTTTTAGGTTGTTTTCTATCTTAATTATGGGTTCTAAGGTTCTTACCCTTCAAGTTCACATAAGTTGATATCAAAACAAAACTCTAAAATAAAGTTTTATCTATCAATATTTATTTTTTCATGTTATTAATCTTTGTTTTAATTCTTAAATTTATAGCAGCATTATAAAAAAAAAGAAAAAAAGTTTATGTTAAAAAGAGCTACTACTAGATAATATAAACAAAGAAGAAGAAGAAGAAGAAGAAAAAGTTGTATTATTTTAAGTTTTTGCTACAATTAAAGATTACACAATTTGAATCTCGATTTTTTAAGAAATTTATATTCATATAAGTTTGTCTTTGATTAGTGATTATTGTTTTCTTGAAAATTGATTTTGTTATTGAAATGATAAAATTCTGATTTTTAGGATTGCAAGAACATTCCATATTAGAATCTACTGATTCCGTTTGCTATAACAATAGGTGATTTTGGGTTATTTGTTGAGTCCATATCAATTTCGGGATTCATAGAGTCATTCTTAATTTTTTTTGTATTCATTTTTTTTGTTTTCATATTTTTTTTATTTTTTGTTTTTGTTTTTGTTTTTGTATTTATTTTTTAATTTTCCGTACTTATTTTGTTTTGTTTTTGTAATCATTTTTGTAATCATTTTTTTGATTGTCTTGTGTCTTGAAGTTCTTGGTTGAGTTTTATGAATTAGAATTTTTTTTATTATTTTGATTAGTTTCCTGAAAAGCCAAAGAGGAAAGAGAGGTAAAAGACGAAAATGCAAGATTATTATCTTGAAAAGCCAAAATTTGAGTGAAACATGATTAAAAAGATATAATTTAATGTGAACATGTGAGGGAATGAGTGATGATATTTTTTATTACTAACATAAAATTTTAAATTTGACAATCTTTTTTCAAAAACAGGTCATCACATAAAGAGGAAAAGAAAACCTTCTTTTTGTTATAAGCAATGCAATAAAAATTTAAGCATATGAATATGGTATTCAATGATATAAATTATCATTTGGACAAGAATGATGCTATGATTGCAAGTTTGCAAGATGAGAAATCTCGAAAGGGTTCTAATGTTAAAAGGCCAAAAAAACATGCTACAATACCGTAAATAAGTTGGTTGATGATAATGAAGATGAAGAAGCCAAGGAATTCAACCATACATCATTCAACCAAGATGACATATTTTGACAACAAAGAAATCATGGTGATAGGATGTTTCAATATGCTATGAGTTTTGGCCATAGAGTAGGAAGGGATACGGGGTTTCATGATGGTTTGGATAACTTTAGGGAACATTAAGATGAAAATTCCATCCTTTAAAGGAGGAATGATCTTAAAGCTTACTTAGAATGAGAAAGGAAGGTGAAGTTAATTTTTGATTATTATAATTATTCAAAAGAGAAGAGAAAAAGGTAAAACTTGTTATAGTTGAATTTATTGATTATATTAGAATTTAGTGGGACCAATTTATTTTGAGTACAAGGAGAAATCATGAGAGACCTACTCTATGTGAAATAGATGCATTACTAAAATAATAACTTCTACAACCTCTATATGCAGAAGAAATAGATCCTTATGTATATGACATCCTATCCAATCTCACTTGTTAGAAACATATATTTTCAAATCCAGATAATATAATTACAAATGTAATTTATGAAAAAAATATTGATTAGATACATATGTTATCTATATTTAGAAAGTTTTCTTATTATATCTTGTTTGACCATATATGCCATATCTATATTGGGAATGCCCTTCCCTTACATCCACATTATTATGCAATCAAGTTAACCTCTTTCGACCCTAATTTGTTTTCCATCTATAAGGGTTTAGATAACCTTGAGGATCATTACTCTCACTCCAATATAATTCATTAGGTAAAGGATGGAATGGAGATCCATATATATTTTTGCACATTTGAACACTATAAAGCAGATGAAAAAATTAGCTCAAATTAATAGGTTTATCTATACAACATGAAAAAATTATGTGAATAACACTGATGAGAACAATGCCATTTACCACATATGCACTTTTCTTTAGCCTATTTGACACTTCACTTAATTTTCTTTTATACACTTGGGTTTTGAGGGGTGTGTACTTGAAAAATATTATCATTAATATTGAACAGTTATGCAGTGTGATATCTAAATCTATTAATGTTATAGTCCAATTTGAGTTGTATAGATAAAAGTTCTATTACACTACGTGAAATGTAGTCATTTACATACTCTTTTCATATAACAAAATAAGTATTACTTTAACAAAATGTTAATTAGATTAAAGCAGAAATAAACGATACACATGCATGCTTCATTATAATGTTAAATGATTCAGAAAGATTTATTGTTATATTTTTATATCGGTGTCCATTATCATAAAAAAATACTCATTTATTTTTTAGTTCACGCTCAAGTCATTTTATCCATTATATGTTAATCATGCACATATTAACAAACTATACATCAAGTTTATACTTTGATGGTTCATAACAAATATTAAACAAATCCTTTTGGTTTGACAAATTTTTAGATTTATAATTGAAATTTCTGGTAAAGTTTGAGCACAATACTAGTGATATCTAATGGGCCCATACCAAATTTTTTCCATTCTATTTTTAATGTCTATATACGTGTATGATATTATATAGATACTCATACAATCATTAATAATATGTTGTTTAAGACAAAGTAAGAACCATCTCTAATTGATAATGTTTTTTTTTCTTTAACAAGAGTATAAGCCAAATGAACAATCCTATTATTTGCATTAAAACTAACTGTAATCAATAAATTCCTATTTAATATGTTATACAGATGGGTGTTGTCTATATTAATAATTGGCCTATAAAACTTTAACCTTTTAATAATTATACCAAATACTTTGAAAACTCTCCCTAAAACAACAATTTCACTATTAAGATACCGATTATGAATCCAATCAATAATTATACTAAGATTTGATTTTTTTATTGCCAACAACAATCTAGAACATATATCAAATGACTCTTCATGTGTGCTAAAAAGCTACTCAATAATTTTTTGTTTTGCTACCATGTTTTATAGTATGAAATTTTAAATTTATAGTGCAATTTTATTTCATCTCGTATGTTTACAACCATATAAATTACGTTACCACTAATAAGAGTTGAAATCACTGGCATAAATAAATTTTTAAATCAAGATGATAGTAGTAATTTTGGATAAATGTTGGTACATGTGTGAGAACATTTTAACTTTGTTATCTAAAAGCAATTTGATTATTTAGGTTAAGTATCGCTTGAACACATTGTAATCATATAAAAATTATTAAATTTGATAAAGAGATATTTCATTGGCTATGATAAAGAGATATTTCATTGTAAACCATGTTATCTATCTATGATAAAGATAAAGAGTATTGGTGAAGAAAAAGAGAGATAATACTCGTTGAAGATGTGGTCATGAATATCAATTTTGTTATAAAAAAGCTATTAGTGATCATGTCGGCAAAACATTTTTTCAACAGTGGTACTATTAAAAAAAATAATCAAATGAGAAGTACAAAATGTCTTTATTTTTGCACAAGTCAAAGCATTAATAGGAGGATAGGCAGAAGAGGTAAAAAGGTCAGTGAAAAAAAAAACAAAGGAATTAAACTAGTGGTGGGGATGGTTCAAAGGTAATTTCAATTTCAAGAAGCAAGCCAAGGATAACCCATCTGATTCTTATTCTTTCGTGCTCTAATGGCCACTGCTTTGATCATAAAAACTTGTCTACTCTCTACACTACACCTCCATCACCATCACCACCGTTACCGTCTTCTCTTCTCTACCACATCCCCCAAACCTCCCAAGTCTCAATCCCTCAAATCCATCAAGGTAAACACTGAAACATTGCTTAGACAATTTAGTTTCTTATAATGTTTTTTGATGGACTCTATGGTTTTTTGGTATTCCCTGCTTTTATCACTACTTTTTTTATTTATTTATTATTAGATGGAAAGTGGAAATGAAATTACGGAAGAAGCTAAAGAGAATGTGAATCAGAAGAAGAAGAAAATATTTGTGGCTGGAGCCACTGGAAGTACTGGGAAAAGGATTGTTGAACAGCTTCTAGCCAAGGGTTTTGAGGTCAAGGCTGGTGTTAGGGATTTAGACAAAGCGAAAACTACTTTTTCTGAACACAACCCATCTCTTCAAATTGTCTGTACTCCTGCTTTAAACACTTGACAGTTTGCGCACACTCAAATTTGAACTGGGTTCATTGTGTATTTTTTTTTTTGCTTTCTTATTCTAGGTGACAGCCGATGTAACTGAGGGGTCTGACAAGCTAGTACAGGCCATAGGGGATGATTCCGAGGCTGTAATATGTGCCACTGGGTTTCGGCCTGGCTGGGACTTGTTTGCTCCATGGAAGGTGATCAGTCGTTTCTAGATTTTTAATTATTCTGTTCTGGCCTTAATAAAAAAACATGTCAAAAGCTAATAATGCTTTCTGTGCTTCAGCTGATTATTGATTAATTATTCAAATGAAGGTTGTTTGCCATTGTTATTTATCATTAAAAAATATAGAAAGGTGTCATGTTTGATTCATCTTTTATCACCTATAGAAAAAAAGCAAATATTGGCTGGCTTATGTGAAGCATTTGTTCCAAGTACAAATATCAATCACTTTAATCCTCAAGTCATTAGGTCATCTGTTGGGATGGTTATGTCTATATTGCAGATGTTTTGATAAGATGTAGGAAATCTAAGTTCTTGGATCAGTTCTCTGTTAAGTGCATCTTTATCTGATTTTAGGCAGAAATATATGGGGTGCGGAATTTTGAATGTTAATCATTATCCTGGATGTGGCATTGAAAGGCAACATCAATTATGTTAACATGTAATCTGGAAATTGGAGCTCTGCATGTGCTGTCAATGTGTAATAGTTTAGTGTTGCAGTTTTCCGATGTCATTGTTTGTCAATCTTATGAGGAGTGCGTTGTTGCAGGTTGATAATTTTGGCACTGTGAACCTTGTCGAAGCTTGCCGTAAACTTGGTGTGAAAAGATTCATTCTAATAAGCTCAATTTTAGTCAATGGAGCTGCAATGGGACAGATACTTAATCCAGCTTACATTTTTCTCAATATTTTTGGGCTGACCCTAGTGGCGAAGCTTCAGGCAGAGAATTACATCAGGAAGTCTGGCATAAACTACACTATAGTTAGACCAGGTGGTTTGAGAAATGAACCACCCTCAGGAAATCTTGTAATGGAGCCAGAGGTAAATACATTTGTTTAAAGCCTTTCTGTAGTGATTCATGCTCTCTCATGCCGTGAGCAAATTTATACTCTCCCCTCTCTTTGTAGGATACTCTTTATGAAGGTACCATATCAAGGGATCTGGTTGCAGAAGTTGCTGTTGAGGCACTAGGTCTTCCGGAATCATCTTACAAAGTCGTGGAAATAGTCTCTCGTGCTGACGCTCCTAAGCGTACATACGAGGATCTTTTTGGTTCTATTAAGCAAAAGTGACTGGTTCATAGTTACGCGAGGGAGACACAAGCATTGTAATCCCTGTGTCTTAAACTTGTAATGCTGGAGCAGATAAACTATATATGATGGCTGATGGAAAGATATTATAATTTTGTTTTATTGGTTACGTGATTAAAAAATTAATATTTTTTTTTGGACGTAAAAATATAAAAGAAATAAATAACTTGATAAAATTAAAATTCAACATAAAAGAAATAAATAACTTGATAAAATTAGAATTGAACTATAAGAAGATTAACTACATAAATTATAAATTATGAATAATAATAATAATAATAATAATAAAAAGAGCAATCTTGTATTTAATTAAAAGAAGTTTCATTTTATGGTGACATAATGTATTGTCTTAGGTTCAAAAGAGATAAGAGCAATCTTGTATTTAATTAAAAGAAGTGTCATTTTATGGTGACATAATGTATTGTCATAATGTATTGTCTTAGGTAATATTGTCTCTTCAAAAGAGATGGAGATAGATAAGTTAAAAGTTAAAATTATTCAAAAATTACTTATTCTTAGTACTGTGAAAGATGTGAAATTTTTTTAAGACATGTTGATTTTACCGAAGATTCATTTATTGTTTTAGTACCATTGCCAAACCATTGTGTAACTTGTTGTCATAAGATGTCCAATTTGATTGGACATTAAAATGTCAAGAAGCTTTTGAAAAGCTTAAAGGGTTGTTGACCATTGCACCTATCATGCAAGCTCTTGATTGGTATTTACTATTTAAACTGATGTGTGATGGTAGTGATTTTGCAGTAGGGGCTGTTTTAAAGCAAAAGAAAGATAAAAAGCCTCATGTTATTTATTATACTAGCAAGACTTTAAATGATGCTCAATTAAATTACACTACAACTGAAAAAGAACTCTTAG